TAAGACTCAGTCTTATCTATATATATATATATATATATAATTAAGACAACCCCAAAAAATCGTTGAAGCTCAGTCTTATCTGTGATTATGTCTGGGAATTTATTGGAAAATTCAATAGCTCTATCAATTGGAATTATTCTTCCTTGAAAACTATTGTGCCCTAGAAATCTTATTTTTGTTTGACAAAGACTAATCTTTTTAGCAGAAACAACTAATCCAGCCATCTTAATTGCTTTGACAAAAATATTTAAGTGTTTAAAATGTTGTTCCAGGTTTTCAGAAAATATTAATACATCATTGATATAAACAATCATAAATTTTATGTAAGGATTGAAAATGCTATTCATAATATTTTGAAATTCTGAAGGAGCATTTTTAAGTCCAAATGGCATTACATTCCATTCATATTGCCCAAAAGGGACATTAAAAGCAGTTTCATATCTGTCTTTTTTAGCAATATAACGTGGAGCCCCCCTTTCTATTTCAAAAGCTTTTTCCACATAGAATGCTGAGCAGCTCCAAGGAGAAGAGCTTTTTCTATATTTACTTTTAATATCTTCTATTATCTTTTTATTATTAGGTAGCAATAGTTTGGTTTCTATTGTCTTATACTTTATTTCTTCTTTGAGATAATATAAGAATTTTTCTTTATTAGAGATTGTTTTTTTAATATTGTTGATTTCTCGTACTTTGGGTTTTTCGAGAAATTCGAATTTTACATTATGTCCTTCTAACTCAAAGCCAAAGAATTACCATGTCTTACACTATCAAATCCTTCTGCTTTCAAAATAATTGAGTGTGATGCTTCAGAATTAGGTTAGGGTGGAATATTAAAACAAAAAATTTTAGATACAGAACAATTGGTTAGATTTACTTCTAAAGCTTGGAACCAGACACAGCAAAACTACTCCACGGTTAAAAAAGAAATTCTCGCTATTGTCCACTGTGACACCAAATTGTAGAGTGACTTGCTCAATAAAAAATTCCTCATACGAACTGACTGCAAAACTGCTAAAGATATTCTTGATAAAGACGTCAAAAATCTTGTTTTTGAACAAATTTTTGCACGTTGGCAAGGTATACTCTCTTCTTTTGAATTTGAGATTGAACATATTAAAGGCACTACTAACTACCTTCCTGATTTCTTAACTCGTGAGTTTTTGCAAGGGGGGACAGGAGGTTAGTCACACAAAACAAGGGAAAGGGAAATTGAAATAGTTCCTGTGCCAGGAAAGGCCCTGGCAACTTCACCATTAACTCCAAATCAAATAATTAGAAAACAGGCACAAGAGATAACCTTCTCACCTGATCCTATACCAATAGCTACAGATTCAGCTGGGGAGAAAAGTAGGTTCTTAGAAACTTCTTTTATACCGACTATTATGATAGAAGATATTTATAAAGATAAAGACCCATATGAAGTAGCGACTATTTATTTAAATAATCACTTACATCCAACCAATAATGATAAAACCCGAGAATGGTATGAAGCCATCCTCCTTGAAACAGGGTCGGTTACCATGGTCCACTTTTATAAGAAAAATACTAATATAATAGCATACTCAAATTCTAAATACGCTAGATAATTTCATATAGGGAATGGGGTATGGACCCTTTGAAACCCAGAAAATTGCAATCAGAAGGGTTTAATAATAAATATTTTCAATACTTTGAATACATTGAAGCCTGGCATAAAGTCTTTGCCTTTCAAAATAATAATAATTCCCATACATGGTTCATCCAAATAAAAATACCAACAATAGGGGAATTCCCAAATTGGTTCAAGAATTGGTTCCAACTATGGGGATCAGGAACTGAAATATTGCCACCTAATATTCAAACTTCTCAAAGGAAGTTTATAGACTATAATAATAATGATACTAGAATTGATCTGCAT